CAGTTTATGAAATTATATGTATATCAAAGCTAAGCGATTGGCCATACGACACCCAGACCTGTCGTTTCGAGTTTAAGTACAATGGAAACACACAATTGCCAAGAGCAGTATTTATGTTTGGAGAAAGACGTGGTATGTCAATGCTTGGGGCTGAGTATGGGGGCACTTGGAATATTGTGGATTACAAACAGGGGGATGAAAACGAGGTGCTATTTTTTGAGTTAACCGTTGAGAGGCAAGCGATGGGACTAGGGGCCATGTTAACAGCACCAGCAATCACACTAATGCTGCTAACCATATCATCGATGTTACTTGACATTCGTGGATCGACGCGACTGCTATTATCCTGTCTCAGTTTGCTATCTCACTTCATTTTCTTGGAAGTAATAAATTACAGTATGCCCCAGCTTAATCGGGAGACGCCAACAATTTTGATATATATTCGAACATCGCTAGTTCTAACGGTGTTTACGGTTATGTTGTCTTTCATATTGAATAATATGTCTAAGAGTAGTAAAGCACCACCTGCTTGGATTTCTGGTATAAATACATGGGTGCAAAGTACTCCAATTACCTATGTCATTCAATCATCTCCAGCAGAGACCGTCAGCGAGAGCCTTACAAAAATTCACTATAACGAATGGATGGATTTCATAAACCTCGTCAATAATTTAGTTACGGTTATAGTAGCTATATTATATTTAACGTTTTACGTAATGTATATTCCAAGTCCGCCGTCACTTGTTTAAACTTGTATAAAATATGAATATCGTTTACTAGAATTTAATTTAGTTTATGTAATTTGCTTTAAACAATTTTTATATTATGTAAAAATCGTATTTTTGAATTATATAAGTCGCATGTCAGTTTAAATTCCAATTTTAAAAACCTTTTGTGCAGATTCGACACAGTGAATTGGAAAAGTCCAAAATTCCAAGGACCTTTTCATATTTTCACTGTGTCATTGTGGCATTTTGCAAGTCTGCATTTGGTACTTTGAAATCTCATCATACGAGCGGATGCAGTTCTAATCCAGCTTATTGACCTCTTTGAAATATGGGTATGTGCATCGTTACACGTTATCTGCATGATGGCATTTGCATTATCGAATTACGCCAGGAATACAATATATTATACCAGCTGACATGGCAAAACATCGTTTGCCAGGTTATACCAGCTGACCTGGCAAACGTTGTTTTGCCATGTCAGCTGGACGGTATTATTTTAAGAAATAAATTCCCAAAATGTGTTCTTTAATAATAAATAAACACTTTTTTGATACACGACTTACTTTTTTTAAATCGATCAACTAAATATGAACTTTCTTTTGAGACACCATGTATTTGTTACAACCATATCACTACACTGGATCAGTGTGAATGAACTTTTCACATAAGTATTCGGACATTCGTATCTGTAAAGTACGTTACACTGTGATAAAATTGTCTTTTGGAATGGACTAAAACATGTCCTTGTAAATGTTTAATGCATTTTGTATTACCTACAAGGAAACAGGAACGTAAGGAATGATTAAGGCAGGAAAGGCTAGACTTTGGCTGAACATCAGCAACTCCCACTTCTGCAAAGAGTGAACATATTTCTGACTCAGTTTCATCAATTATTTGTTAATGCAAGTATGCTAATTTTTGTGCCTTACAATAGGTACCATATTAAGATACGAAAATTTTCACTAAATTTGCTGTATCATTGCGATGAAGCATAAATATATAGATACTATAATATAATACCACTATAATATATAGATACCAAAGACAGTCCGTCCCGTTTGTCCCTCCTTTCACAAGAACGCATTTTGGCCAAACCTCTCCGATGACAAGATTAAACATTCTGATTAACGAGCTAGAATCACAGTTCAGCCATCTCACACTTTAAAACCCAACCCTTTAGTCTTTGTATTTAACTATTTTTTGTCGTTCTTGAATGCTATTATTATTTGTACGGTATTTGTTTTTTTACGTACCAATCAATGTATGAGTGCCAAGTGATGGCAAGCTTTTGTTAATGATTATGCGCTAGTAACTATGCTCTTTTAAGATTGACGTACTTGCAAATCGCGTAGACAAGCGTTATAATATTTCAAGGGAAGAAAATTGAACTCAAAACTTTACAACAACTTTGCTTTATAACATAACAAAACGCTATATTGTAATTTGAGTAAATAACCGTATTAAAATTATGTTTATTCCACGTCATAAATTATGAACGAATGGGCTGTCGAGCTTCGTAATTAGCTTTCGATATCCGGTTAATTTTAACTCTTTGATAATCTCGTTTCAACAATTCGCTAATATTAGTTATCAATGCGTTATTGGGATGTAATTGCATTATAACCAAGTTGAGCGATTTCTGTAACAATATGTTATTTGTCCCATGACGAAATAGCTGTAATATACCGCTTAAATCGCTTTCCCGCGCAATGCGCGTTTATGATTCATTCAACACAAATCCTGTGAAATCGTTTCAAACTTTTCTTCTTATAGCGCTATCTCCTTGGGAAGGTTGGCGATCATTATGGCTACTTTATATTGAATGCTTCATGAACAATGACTTCGTGCTTTACCAAACCATTGCCGAAGAATCTTAAGCCAAGTCGTGCGTCTGCGGCCAGGTCTCCTTATTTGCCTTAAATTTTTCAAACATTTGACATAATTATCACGAGTACATTAAGGAGCTCGTATAATTTAGTTTTACGTTAGAATTGTCCGAAATAAAGAAATCTGTTGTATTATTATTTATTATTCCTAGGCTATGCAGGCTGTAACATTAGAAATCATAATCTATCCTAATAGAATTTACATATATTCATACTATGAAATGTGTCTTTAATTTATTTGACAGTACCTGTCTCATCAGGAAAGAACTAATTCTTCAATAAATAATAAAATCATACTGCAATACTTTTCATTACTTTTTCATTTTAATTCAAGGCTTAACAATCGAATTAAGGTCTGGCAAATTCATTTTTAGTTTTTCTTATATTTAAATAACATAAAAATACTTTGAAATTTTTATAAAAAAAAAACTTAAAATCGTGTCTGGCACATAGCAATGTGAAAAATGTCTGGCAATAAAAAAAATTGTTAGGTAGACTTATTTAAAAACGAAAAATTAAAAATTACGCTTCTTAAAATGCTTTTCAAATCCAGGATTATTACCTGGACAGATAGGATGCGCACTAATGAACGCAACCGCTACCGCCAGCCAGATAGCCAAGACTCTAACCGAAAGTGCAAGAAGGAAGACATATCACAAAATCAGCTTTTAGAAATTCTTTCTTTTCAAATGTTGCTACCTCCCGTACTAATATGAGTCATTTCATTATAGTCAATTCTTATATTATTTTATCACATTATTAATATATATTATTACGTTATCACAGTAATAATGTTTCACTCAATAACCATTAATAGAATAATACATTTTATCCAAAAGTTAATTAAGTAATCAGAATGTTTTTGGTAAATTATTTTACCTTGATTACCATACCGTAAATTGTATGTGTATATCATTGCTCTTCGATTATTATATTTAGGACATACAGCTTCTAGATGGAATCTGTATGCCCGAAATACCGAAAGCAGATGTCTTCGCTCTAATTCTAAAAATTTAATTAAGCTTTATAGGTTGATACTGTGTCTATTAACTCGCTGACGACTATAAAACCGAATGCACTGAAATTAACACTAACTTGCATGAGCTATGATAATACGTAGTATTACATATTATGTAGTTTAATGCGAGTCCCGAACCATTAGTACCTCCGACATGTCCCCGCTCCAGTAAAGAGGTTGAACGCTTCCTTCCGGCCTTTTAACCGCGTACTACATAGGAAAAATTTAATTGTGTATAAGGAAATGTAAAAGTCTATAAGAAATCACGGAGCAGATTCAAATTCGATACATAGTGCAAATGGAGGAAACTGTTGACTCCCGTGCCAAGTTTACAAAGTCAATTCTCTTTCTTGATATCGTCCGGTCAACACCAGGTACATGTATTGAACAAAAATATTTTCATGTAAATTGTCGTCTCTCGTTAAGGTTGAAAAACTTGACGTCGCGTCGCTTCGACTCAGCGCCAATGTGAGTTGAGCCTATATATCTTTTAAATATTTCGACTTCAAAAATGAAAATTATAGTAAATTTGATCGATGAGACTCGCTCGCTGTAACTTCTATTTACATTTTATAAGAAATTTCAGATTTATATTTCCCTGTTGGAGAATGTTTATAGTTCAACGTGTATGTATGTATGTGGATTCAGTTTTCGCACTTAGACGCCCATTTGGTATGTTGTGCATTAAGCCCTGGCTAATTAAGCCAGCCCAGCTTTTTCACTTACAAAGCTCACAAGTTTCCTGGGCACTTCACGCAGCGACCTCACTGCTCCAAGGATGCCACAGCCACGCATTCCAGGACTACGTGGGTGACTGCCTCTCCACAAGGGACTGTCTGTTGCGGTCTAGGACAAACAGATGTTTATTAAGGAGACAGTGGCAGATTTGGACGATGTATCGAATGATTCGGCTACGAAATGCTCTAATACCCTATCTATTATTTGGATCTTTAGACCTCCACTCGACTTGTACGTAGGTAAATTAATTAATATTTAATTCAAGTATATTTCAAATGCATTTTAAACCTTTAAATTAATTAATTACACTAAAGAAATCTTTAACACTACCTAGTATACCTAGATTATTAATCACTGCAACAATATTATCAAGAGAAGTGGACATCTGGATTAGTTTTTAATATCTGTCCAGCATATCAATTTCGTTTATCTACCAGAGATTGCAACGCCCTTTGTTACAGTATCTCGTTACAAATCACCATTCTGCTTCCAGACATGCGGTTGATCACATGTCTTTCCCTACTGCTAGTTGTGGGAGGATGCCCCAATACCGAAGAGCGAAACTACGAGCGATCCTGGGAAGCTAAACTTGATAAGTATATAAAAGGCATTTGTCCCGATAGTCTCCAAATGGCACCGGAACGTCGCACCAATGTTACAGTGAGTTTTTTTTTAAACTCTTTCTTCTTCGACCGTGGTGAAGAGATTTTTAGTATCTATAGCTTGGTTTACTTGAAATGGAATGATCCTCGGATCAAATGGGACCCTAAAGACTATGGTGACATCAATAGTTTGCAAGTTTCTACATCGAGTTTCTGGAATCCAATGGGTAACTTCCAAAATTCGAAAAGTGCCTATGAGTTCGATTATATATGGACTAAAACTTGCGATGTATTTTTTAGTGGTCATATTAAATGTAATCCAAGTACAGTGTATGAAACTATATGTATATCAAAGCTACGCGATTGGCCATACGACACTCAGTCCTGTCGTTTCGAGTTTAAGTACAAGGGAAACACACAATTGCCAAGAGCAGTATTTATGTTTGGACCAGGAAGTGGTATCTTGATGATTGGGCCTGAGTATGGGGGCACTTGGCATATTGTGGATTACAAGCAGGGAGATGAAAACGAGGTGCTATTTTTTGAGTTAACCGTCGAAAGACAAGCAATGGGACTAGGGGCCATGTTAACAGCACCAGCAATCACACTAATGCTGCTAACCATATCATCGATGTTACTTGACATTCGTGGATCGACGCGACTGCTATTATCCTGTCTCAGTTTGCTTTCTCACTTCATTTTCTTGGAAGTAATAAATTACAGTATGCCCCAGCTTAATCGGGAGACGCCAACAATTTTGATATATATTCGAACATCGCTAGTTCTAACGGTGTTTACGGTTATGTTGTCTTTCATATTGAATAATATGTCTAAGAGTAGTAAAGCACCACCTGCTTGGATTTCTGGTATAAATACATGGGTGCAAAGTACTCCAATTACCTATGTCATACAATCATCTCTACCAGCAGAGACCGTCAGCGAGAGCCTTACAAAAATTCACTATAACGAATGGATGGATTTCATAAACCTCGTTAATAATTTAGTTACTGTTATAGTAGCTATATTATATTTAACGTTTTACGTAATGTATATTCCAAGTCCGCCATCACTTGTTTAATCTTGTATAAAATATGAATATCGAGTATTAGAATTTAATTTAGTTTATGTAATTTGCTTTAAACAATTTTTACATTATGTGAAAATCATATTTTTGAATTATATAAGTCGCATGTCAGTTTAAATTCCAATTTTAAAAACCTTTTGTGCAGATTCGACACAGTGAATTGGAAAAGTCCAAAATTCCAAGTACCTTTTCACATTTTCACTGTGTCATTGTGGCATTTTGCATTTGGTACTTTGAAATCTTATCATACGAGCGGATGCAGTTCTAATCCAGCTTATTGACCTCTTTGAAATATGGGTATGTGCATCGTTACACGTTATCTGCTAATGGCATTTGCATTATCGAATTACACCAGGAATATAATATGTTATACCAACTGACCCGGCAAACGTTGTTTTGCCATGTATATTTTTCTAGGAATCATTTTTTTTAGTTATAAAACTATCTACTTTAATAAAAATTATGGGTTGTATGTATTTTTGTTTGTTTTATAATAAAAAAATAAAAACAAAAAACTTTGTCTAAATTTTTTTATTTTTTTGGGGTGGACACCCCTTATCACTTAAGGGTTTGAAGGGTAGATAGTAGCCGATTCTCAGACTTACTGAATATGCATCAAAAAATTCATAGGAATCGGTCGAGCCGTTTCGGAGGAGTATAGGTCAGTACTCAAATACAGTATTACTCGATCGGGCTAAACCGTCGAGTAAAACCCATGGCATGAGCTTTCGTCCACACATTGAGCATTGATCTATCGAGTGAGGCGCGCCGTTCAGCATTCACCGAACCGTTCGAGCCAAAGGATGCCTGTGCAACGATGGAGACGGTGGCTGTATTTAGCAAGTCTCACAGTGCTTTATAAGAAAATCAAAGGAAATGAATGAATGACATTCCATAAACACTCACACTGTCTATATGTGTCAATAAAGTCTTCTATAGCGCTTTTGGAATAAACTCGCAAATCCATTTCTCTTAAAAACACGTGTTTCAATTACGATAAACAGTACCAGACTGACGCTCGCCTCGCGCCACTCGCAGTCACGTACATACGTTCGAGTCAAGATTGACGGCTCGCTTCGAGTAGGTTCGAAGGAAATTACTTTCATTTAATTTCGAGCCGGCTCGGTGCGAGCCTTCGAGCTGTGAATTTTGCGGTCCACACGTTGATTTTTACTCAACTTCGAGTAAAACTATCGAGTAATACCGTATGTGAGTACTGACCTTATGGGAATGAACATTGTGATACGAGAATTTTATGTATTAGATATTATTATTTATATTATATAATTGTATTTTCTCTTGAAGACTGCCTCAACTTATGTAATATAAAAATTGCTTTGTAGCGATGGCTATAAAAACTTGATACCTAAGAATGTTAATAAGCTACAGGAGTCATCCTAAGACCGCGATCTGGATAAATCTTGGCGTCCCGGACTTATATGAAAAATAATAAACGGATTATGTCCCACTCAACACTATAATATTCTGTTTTATTTTATTATTATTGCTTATATATTAAACATAAACTAAAAGTACAGAAAATATCAAAAAACCACTAGTCAAACTCAAAGTCAAAATCATGTATTCATTTAGGTAACACAATGTACACTTATAAACGTCAATAAAGAAATACATATTAAATGCTAAATGCTTCTAATTTACTAAGGGTAAAAACCCTTGGTGCCTGGCTACACGCAGTACAATTTTTATAAAGAGTTAGAAAAAAAGGGTGCGTGTACTTATGTACGCGCGTAAGAAGTTATACTTCTTTGGCATTATTAAAAATAGTTTTTGATTGCATGCAAATAATTAATTACAATTTAATAATCAAAGACTGGAAAAGGAGTCAATAAAGTTCAGTTTACATTTGAAAAATTAAATAAATAAATATTTATTATTATTCTCTTACATTAAGTGTAACATAAATTCTATTATTCGAATGTTGTTTTTAAATTATGTCCAATGCCGTAGCATCTTCCGTGGGCAATTTCATTCTGTTAATTTTGTGTCACGGTGCGCGCGCATCGTAAAATTTCACTCTCATCAATTTTTTATAACGCGCCTAAAGAAGTATAACTTCAAAAAACAATCAAAAAACGAAACCTAAACATTACCACAAAGAGAAAAAGAAATCCAAGCAATAACATCCCAGATTGGTCAAATTACCTTTTACTTGTACCCTTGAAATATTGCGGTGTTATTTGGAGATCGGAATCAACAAGGCGCGGAACAATACATAAGGTTATCCATATTATAGGGGTTATACATTAAAGCCTCAGTCGAATTTGATGGATGTTAAGTGCTCTATAGAAATATATATACAAATTTCAAATAATAAATAATGTGATGCATTAATCAAGTGGATAGTCTGCATAAGCGCTGAGACCTAGCGCAAATGAACCGCAGACCGCATCCACTTGCGGTCTACGGCTCGCGAACGCGTGCTGCGTATGTATTGAATATACAATAATTGAAAAGTTACGAATTTAGAAATTACTCACGAAATAAATAAATATTTGTTACAACTTAATCACTAAACTGGATCAGTGTGAATTAACTTTTCGTGATAAAATTATAGCAATAAGATTCCTTCCATCTTAAAGAATGGACTACAAGATGTCCTTGTAAATGTTTAATGCATTTTGTAGTACCTACAAGGAGGCAGGCTGGAAAGGCTGCAGTTTGGGTGAACATCAGCAACTCCCACTTTTGCAAAGAGTGAATATATTTCTGACTCTGTTTCATCGATTACTTCTACATGCAAGTATGCTAATTTTTGTTACTAAGTAGATTATTAAGATAATTTTCCTTCAATTCCGTACCAATACATTTGCTATATCATTGCTATGAAGCTTAAATATAGATACCAAAGGCAACCCGTCCCGTTTGTCCCTCCTTTCACAAGAACGCATTTTGGCTAAACCTCTCCGATGACAAGATTAAACATTTTGATTAACGAGCTAGAATCACAGTTCAGTCATATCACGCTTTAAAAACACAATCCCTTAGTTTTTATAATTAACTATTTGAGATACTATTTTTTTTTTGTCTTACTATTATTTATACGGTATTTGTTTTTTTACTTACCAATCAATGTATAAGTGCCAAGTGATGGCAAGCTTTTGTTAATAATTATGCGCTTGTAACTATTCTCTTTTAAGATTTACTTTCAAATCGCGTGGACTTGAGGCATAATAAGATTTCAAGGGAATAAAATTGCAGTCAAAACTTTACAACAACTGCTTTATAACATAAATAAATAAATAAATAAATAAATATGTTTATTATGGAACATAAGATACATGTATCACTTATTCCACGTCATTAAATTTGAAGGCATCCCTACTCATCGGCAAAGAAGACAGAGGGTGTAGGCCGAGAGAAAAAGCCGGCGTAAAAAACTCTCGGTACTCTTTTAAAACAGCAAATCATCAAACAACACTTATTTAAAACAAATATCGCAAATTGATTAGAAGTAGCCTGTCTAGCACTAGTCCCAGGCCCTTTTATCAACTAGATAATCGTTGACTTTATAGTAAGCCTTTTTACACAGCTTTTCTTTAATACATTTCTTAAATTTATTGAAAGGCAGTGATAAAAGAGCCTCTGGGATTTTATTAAAGAAGAGTATCCCTTTCCCCAAAAAAGAATTACTAACTTTAGATAGTCTAGTACGGGGAAATTGCAGCCTGCGTTTGTTCCGTGTATTAACATTGTGCGTATGTTCTATTCTAGTAAACTTATCACTATTTTTGTATACATACATAATATTTTCATAAATATATTGCGAGGGAAAGGTAAGTATATTAATTTCCTTGAATTTATCTCTAAGAGATTCCCTACATTTTAAATTATAGATTGCACGAATAGCCCTCTTCTGCAGGATGAAAATAGTTTCGACATCAGCAGCATGACCCCATAATAATAAGCCATAAGTCATTAAGCTATGAAAGTAACTAAAATAAACAAGTCTAGCTGTATCGACATCAGTTAGTGAGCGAATTTTTTTAACCGCGTAGGCTGCAGAACTAAGTCTCTTCGCCAATCCGTTAATATGAGGGGACCACTGAAGTTTTGAATCCATGGTGATTCCGAGAAATACAGTTGTATCATCCAGATTCAATTCCTCACCGTTTATAATTGGTCTAGTATCCATAACCCTTGCATTTTTTGCACAAAATTTAATGCATTTTGTCTTTTTGCATTAAGTAGAAGGTTATTCATACTAAACCAATGGACAATCGAAGACAGAGCATTGTTCACATCGTCAAAATTTGTTATTTGTCGTTTGATTTTAAAAATCAAGGACGTGTCATCAGCAAACAAAACTATCTGATGTTTTCTCTCTACCATGAAAGGTAGATCATTTATATAAACAAGAAAGAGGAAAGGGCCAAGAATTGAGCCCTGTGGTACCCCCATATCTACTGCCGACCCAGAGGACCTCTTACCATTCACTTCAACCTTCTGAGTTCTTCCGTGTAAATAGGAAGTCAGAAGATTCAGTGCGGTATTCTTGATGCCATAGTGGCGGAGTTTCCCGATTAAGGTCTCGTGTTGGACACAATCGCCTTTGTATAACATAACAAAACGCCATATTGTCATTTGAGTAAATAACCGTATTAAAATTATGTTTATTCCACGTCATAAATTATGAACGAATGGGCTGTCGAGCTTCGTAATTAGCTTTCGATATCCGGTTAATTTTAACTCTTTGATAATCTCGTTTCAACAATTCGCTAATATTAGTTATCAATGCGTTATTGGGATGTAATTGCATTATAGCCGAGTTGAGCGATTTCTGTAACAATATGTTATTTGTCGCAAAATAGCTGTAATATAGCGCTTTCCGTCGCTCGACGCGTTTATGATTCATTCAACACAAATCCTGTGAAATCGTTTCAAACTTTTCTTCTTATAGCGCTATCTCCTTTCGAAGGTTGGCGATCATTATGGCTACGTTATATTGAATGCTTCATGAACAATGACTTCGT